TTTTGACCTACTCAAGCTATGACGTAGATGCTGGTCACCTTTTCAAACTTCTAGGGTGGAAAAACCTAGCTTGCCAGCAACAAATTCAAAGAGCTACGATGGTTTACAGGTCACTGCACGGGTTGGCTCCAAACTATCTTAGTTCTAAATTTGAAAGGCGAGAAGTCGCATATAACCTAAGGGACTCTGAAAATCAATGTTCCATTACCGCGCACAAACTATTACAAAAACAGCTTCAGCTATAGTGGCGCCATTCTCTGGAACAGTCTTCCTTGTCACTTAAGGGAAGCAGAGTCCCTTGGGCAATTTAAACGATTACTCAAAGAACTGTAAGGCACGGCATTCATGGAAAGCAGCTTTTTTATTTAAATATTTTTATTATATTAGTATTAGGCATTTTCAAGGCTGACGAATTTTGTACCGAGGATAAATAAAGATTATCTATCTATCTATCTATCTATCTATCTAAATGGTTTGAATGAGCGCAGATATAAATTATAAAAGTAATTTTGTAAGTTACGTGCTTGCAGATCGAGACGTCGTCATCTTTGTTTACGAAGTACCATTCATATTTTGGCAGTATATTAATGTTCACGAAGTAAGCTGAATCACTCTCAAAACATTATTACAAAGTGCGATGGAATTATTACAAATTGCGACAGCTTAGTATATTTCAAAGTGCGATGGACAGTTATTACAAATTGCGACAGCTTTTTTATTACAAAGTGCGACACAGTTTATTACAAATTGCGACAGGTATTACAAAGTGCGATAAATTTATTACAAATTGCGACAGGTATTACAAAGTGCGATGATTATTACAAGTTGCGACAGTACATACGTGCAAATGTACGTATTATACAAATAAGGGACCTTATAGATTTGAGTACGAGTTTGACGTTGGGTAATAGGCTAGTCAGTACGGGTTTTCAAATTCAGCTCGCGTGCTTTAGAAAGAGTAAGCGTTCTTGGGACAAAACGAGTGCAAAATACCCAAATCGTTTGGTTTTCGTACTTAATCCCGAGCTCGTACTCAAATCGTCGAAAAGGTGATGCACAGCAAGCGCATCTCTTCCCAGAAGCCTCCTGGATACGAAGCTAAACCTGAACACTAAAGAATATTGTAGTGTTTTTTATCTAGGTCAGTGTAATGCTTAACCTACAATTCATATTCTAGTCCTCCAGAGCGAGGAATGTGCAATGATGCTGAGAATGTGCGCGCACTTAAAGCAAGAAGAATTATCAATAAGGCCCTTTGGATTCTGAATGTGCCATCCTATCGATGACCGACTGGGTCTTAACAATGTTACCCGCAAGGTCCTTTTCTGCTGGTGTTTTGTCACTGCTGGAGTCCAAACACCTCGTAATCTGTAACAGTGAAAAATGTGGCACCCGTGAAGAACGTGTTCTGTTGTCCTGGTGGGAGCTGATAGGTGGTGCCGAGACTGCTGCCACTATGACTTGTGTTTGCATTATTTGATATAAATAGGTCCTGCCCACCGCCAAACGTTGGTCCATAGCTGCCATTACAAATGATGCCAATCTCTTCCTCCCCAGCGATTAGCGACATTTTGGTTGCACCCAAGGCACTCGGATTCACCAAGCTAAATAAGAAAGCTTGGCAACACTTTACATAACCTATAAATGATCAGATAAAACTAACGTTAGTGTTTGCTGGACTCAGGTTATGGTACCATACATTTTGTTGTACAGCATCCACCCTAGTTATGTTTAACACGCTGGTATTTTTCCTTTGAACGTTTATTAAAAGAGTAAAAAAAGTTGTAACCGGGCCTTATGACCTCGACCGCAATTAAGCGCCGGGATCTTGATCAAACGCGGGGGGGGGGGACTCCATAAACGCCCCCGGCGTTCATTGAAAAATCGGCAGTTTCGACCCGGCCTTTAATCGAGAAATTACGGTTAGTAATGTACAAAGACCTATATGGCGTCTGTTTGCTTAATCTGTTTGCAAGTTTGGGAGATCTGGGTACGAGTTCACAGTACTCCTGCCGACCATGTGGCATTCAACCCGTCTATCATGTCCTGTTCATCAATCTGTAGGCAGCAAGTTTAACCTAAGAAGCCCGTAGTTACGGCCTGAGTTTCAGACCGATTCCTTCCACTCGCACACTCCTTTCAGTTGCTGAGAGGAGTATCAACGAAGGAATGTCTGAAATTCAGGCTAGTCCTTAGTTGGGAGAAGTAGAGGACCGTGACTGTGAAATCTGGTCTTTAAGTTTTTCTGTTTTTTATTTTCTGGTGCATTGGACTGAAAGTTTGTAATACTCCCTTTCTCATGGGACTTTTTTGCACTATCGTTTTGTTCCGCTCGCCTTTTTGAATCAAGTCTTTGGCTACTAATTCTTGGCTGCACTCCCACCTGCCTGTTGCTATATTAGTTGTTTTCGCAAGACGAGATCAGGGGAGTCATGGGAGATCATCGCAAAATCTTACAGGATAATGATAAATAAAGCATGGGAGGCGTCAGGAAGCTCATTCGGGTATATTTTCGACGTATAAATGATGATCAAAACTTACGTCCTGCATGATTTGTCCACGACTTCTCAGTGAAACCTCCAAATATGTTTGCACCGCTTTGCACAACAGTGACTGTAGGCCCTTTGTTGTCGCACTTAGAATGAAACGCTGAAGCGGCAAAGCCATCTCGTGACGCTTGGAACAGCAAACGCCATTCGCCTGCCATGGCCTCAGGTAACCAACCTTTCAAAATTTTCCGATGCTCTACATTCATCAAAATGGTCGACTCTCTGAAAGGCTCGTCTGGCGTACCTACTTTAACTGTTAATTTGGCAGACCTCAACGCGTCGATGAATCCTTGAATTTGATAAAATTCTGCTTCTTCCTCAAGTTCCTTGGTAAATGTAGCTCCTTCAGGCAAAGTTAGTTTTCCTGTGCGGAGAAAGTTCAGGATAAAGCGGAAGTGAGTTCCATCTCGGTCGATAAAGAACGAACCGTCTTCAGATGGCTTCATGTCGAACCTTCCTGAAAACATGGCAGCCAGCATCGAGTTGCGATCCTTTGTCAGAGTTTGCACGCTCGTGGTAAAGTGCTGGCCTCCAACATTAAGTTTAACGGTGGACGAAAAGTGAACCTGATCAAGTTTCTTGGACATGGCATCGATGGATTCTTGCTCCTCGCGAAGCCTTGTTGCTTCTCATTGAAATATCTCACACGCCTCTTTGAAATGCTTTGCAGCATCTATAAGAGCTTGACTACGTTGTTGGCGTTCAATATTTTCCTCACTCATGTTAAATCAGTGCGACAAAATGGGGGAACAGCTTCCGTCTTCGGCAACTGGGTAAATACACAAGGACGTCACAAAGTTTGTCACGTGTTTAATAGAGAGTGAAATGCGATCAAGCTGAACCGTACCGTCCTTAGGGGGGGCCTTAAAATGCCAAAAGATGACCTTGGGGGGGTCTTCAAGTTCCTTTTAAGCAGCATCCCTACTGAGCAGAATGATGCTTGAGTGTTAAAGGACCTGATTTTGATTCAGTTTTACACAAAGTCCTATATTGTGTAATACTAAAACAATTTCATCAGCATTTTGACAAAAAGATTTAATGCTCAAATAGTAGGTGCATCAACACAACATCCATTATTGTCTAACACTGAAACAATTTAATCAGCATTTTAACAAATGATTACATGCATAAAGTCATGTTATGGAATCTCACTATCCGAATCATTATTTGTAGGTGAGGTTGATGTGAACTCACTGTCTGTGTCACTATCAAGTTTTTTGCTATTAGAGCATGTACTGCTCATATAAAAAGCAGTAAGCCCCTCTTCCAACTTAAATTATGACTGGTCCCTTATGTCACGCACGGCTACAATAGATGTTTTCTTCATCACATGTTCAAAAAAGGCCTTGCAAATATCATTTTGTCAGACAGTGTGAAATTGCTTTTCCCGGGCTTTGCATGTCCTACGCGAGTCAAAACGCTCGTCAACGCATGCAAACTTCCATGCTTTCCGGCGTCCACGCAGGGGTTCCTCGTCCCAGGACTACTCACACCCACTTCCATTTTTGGTATGAACCAACGGGATGCTCGTCGTCTCGCCGTTAGGGGTGAAAATTGTTTATTCTGGCCTCTATCTTAGGGTTTCTATGACGGAAAGCCAATTTTTTTATACATTAAGGTATCGCTTAGGGTTGTGAATACAATGTACAATGTGTTAGAACATGTCGAAATCGCTGATCCTACCAGTACGCAGGACGCATGTAAAACATAAATTCTTGAAGAAATTCATCAGGCTAGTGAAGTTAAACAGTCGATTGAAATGTTCTTAAAACATAGCCAGTCTTAACGTCAGCGTCAATAAGACGTTAAGACTGGCTATGTTTTAAGAACATTTCAATCGACTGACAATGTAAAACATAAGTATTGTATATGGCCCAGCCAGCAACAAGTTCAACGTAGCTCGGTGGTTAGAGCATCCGACCGGTGTACGGTAGGTCATATAGGTTCAATTAATGTTGGGAATCCAGATTTTTTTTTTGTCCTGTGCTCGTGAGATGTTGATCACAGATCTCATTTCTTCGTCGAACTTCATCAGGAAACATCTATACTTAAAAAGGGGGAAATACTTTTCTTTCACTTTAGGGGTGAAATAAAGCATAAGCCACACCCAGATTGGTCTTTTTTATTAAAAAGAATTTAATTCTAATTTTCCGAAGACCATCCCCGTTCTTTCATGTAGTGGTTTCTCCCTTGGGTCGACACTGGTTCCGATTCTTATCCATTTCATGTCTGAGCGAAAGCAGTGAAGGCATAATTATAACGTTTTGAATCGCTGAGACCGCATTTTCGCATTTTTTAAAAAAAATTCACACATGTCGTTGAATTGATTGTTTTAACATTCAGAATAGATTATGTCATCTGCGATCGTAAGTGACTGTATTCTATGTGACTCATGAAATAGTAGCTTTTAAAACTAAAACTGTCGAACTGTGCTACAGTATGACTGAAAAATCCACTCAATCGTTATAGTATGATAGTCTGATCTGTTTGAATGTGAAATGTGATCACTTTATTGCTACGCTTACGTCTCTGCTTCCGTGGAAAATGATGAAATAAATTAAAAAGCCTGGAATCAGGCTCACTTTATATAAGAAACTAGAACAGTAACGAGTTGTAACCCCGGGCTTAGAAAGGCAAGCACGCTTGCTGAAAGGCAATTACCTTCATGGGGTAATCAACATCCATCCAAAAAATAAAATAAACAACAACGAGAACAAAGTTTATTCAGACTCAATTGTTAATGATTGCATATAATTTTCCCAAGCAAAAATACTAGTCGTGGCCACGTGGAGGAGGAAAGACAGATTTCCATTACATGTTTCGAGAAGAATGGACTGGAATGAAATGTACATCATCAAGGTTTATAAAAAATACTTTGATTGGCGCAACAAAACCCATCGACAATCAATTTTCTGCTTTCTCTTCTTTACCTTTTCCTTAACTTGATATGTGCTGTATGAATTAAGTCATGTTGTCAAAATTAAAATGTATGATAATTAGAGTGAGTAAAAAAATAATCTTATCTTATAACAGCCTAAACGTTCATTCCGGGGTAAAGAAAAAAAACGTTTTGCATCAACTTGTTGGATTCTGAATTTGCCATCCTATCGATGACTGCATCCGTCTTTATAGCTATAATACGCACCATCTTTTTTGTTGGTTTGTCATCATTGCTATCAGAGTCCAAATATCTCGTAATCTGTGACAATGAAGTACTCATCACCAGTCAGGAACGTTTCCTGCTGTCCTGGTCGGCACTGATAGGAGCTGCCGAGTCTACTAAAACTGGTCATGTTTGTATTTGCATTATTTGATATGTATAGGTCGTGCCCACCGCCAAACTCTGGTCCACAGTCGCTTCCAAGTAAATACCACACTGTTCCCTCCCAGTGATGAGTGACATTTTTCTTGTACTCAGGCCTCTCGGGTTCACCAAGCTAAACAAGAAGGCGTGGCTACATGTCACAAACCCTGCCATTCACAACCGTAAAATAAAACTGAAGTTAATAGTATTTCTTAGACTCAGATTGCCGTATCCTTTGCAAGCCCCCCCAAAAAAACAAACAAACAAACGAAAAAACGAAAAAACTTCTGGTACCCAGAGTAATCTAGACTTGATTTCCGCCGTCTCCCGAGTCCAATCCAGTGTGTGGGCCTGTTTTTCAAAACAGCCGCCGAGAGGCAAAAGAGGAAGGGTAAGGATTATATTCAGTCTGAACGGGAGAAAGCTTCTTTCCTCAAGCACGGTGCGTTTTACTTTGAGTACAGAAACTGTCTCCTGCGGTAGACAAATCTATTCTCTTACTAATTTAGTCAGTACTGTCGTTAGATTTTGTAGATTTTGGTATGAGTTCACAGTGCTCCTAATCTTACGGCATTTCGTGTGTCAATCAGTCCAGCGTATGGCGATCTGTCGCCAGGAAGGTTAACCTAGCTAAGTGCTCTATAAAAGGGACTGGAGAGGCTACACTAATGTTTTTCAATTACGCCACCAAAACTCTCACTTGTCTTGTGCCCCGATTCTATTCTGCCTGCAACGTGTCAGGATTAGTTCAGTTGAACGAGCGCTGGTGAGCCAGCTTACGCAAAGTGAAAAGTGAGGGTTTAGAACCAATTCTCAGGAACTCAGACTGAAAACTAAGAAACAAGGTAGTACCTGTACTCCGCAAACGCCGGGATAGACCTTTGCGCGGCTGATGTCGGACTACCTAAACAATGGCGGTCTTGTCAGTCAGTAGCATCTTGCTTGCAGTTGCAGCGGGGGCCAAGAAATCTTTATGCTTTTCCTGTACGGTTTATCTGTATTAAATGGTAAACCCTTTTATGGGTTTTAGTGTTTATTTCACCAACAAAAACATTTGCTTCACACTTATTTCAGCATTACAAGAAGTCATTAGCCTCTTCGTTTGACCGATATCCTGATGCAAACTACCTTGTTATTTTGGAGGAGGATTTATACATGTCTGTCGATATTCTCAGCTTCTTCAAACAGCTTCTACCAGTCTTAGAACTTATCACGAACTTTTTACGAAGTGACAATTGTTGGACCTATGTGCGATAGTACATGCAACAAACTGTTTGAACTTTCCAGTCACCCTTTTTGCGCATGAGCAACCTGAGCAAGGAAATGTCGTCACATTACTCTCAATGTGAGTGCTTAAAAATCGTGATTATGAGCCTTGTGATCAGCAGAGTTGAAATTATAGAGATATTCCTGGCATCATTTTGAACGACTTTTTTCCACGAAGGCAAATCATGCATAAAGACAAGAAACGAGAGCTTGTATGTAAATAATGATCAGATTCCACTTGTGAAGAGTGCCGGTGGACTCTCTTTCGTCCCTCCCAAAGTACGGTGGGAAAAGGTCATTTCTAGGCGCAGCAATGAACTGAAAAGTAACCCTACATCGTGTCCCTTGGTTTGGGCGCCATGTTGAAAAGTTGAGTGACGTCATCATATATTCAGTTCTGGTTGTGCCCCGGACTGCTTATGTACAATCCTATTTTACATCTAGTAAGAAACCAACCTTACCATATACCAGACGATTGAGGGTTAATTCATATGCTAGAGTACTTTTAACCCCCGAATATCTTCACAGTCAACGATAGTTTCAACTGGCAAGGAACAAACCAGCTGGTTATTCTAAAGATTGGTTTGGCGTTGATCTTGGGACCACCAAAAAACAAATCTAGCGAGTGGTCAGGAGATTTGGTGACGGAACCGCCATTTCTACATGGTCATTTGAGCCACGTGAGGGTCTAGCGCCTTGCAGGGCAAAGGCAGTACCTTCTTCCCTTAGTTATTTTAAGACCCTGAGTATTGGTTTGGTCCGAGGAATCGGACTTCCGACCTCCCGCTCTGCAGGCCAGCGCTGTATGGCTGATTCAATGAGCTCAGTCACGGTAAAAATATAAAAATAAAATTTTATTTGTGTTTACAGGGTGCTAAGTCGTAAACTGTTCAAAGGAGAACTGGAAAAGAAGTGGCCGAAACCAGAGCAACCAAATGACTGGGACATGTGGATGAGAATGGAAGGGAATAAGAAGGGAAGAGAATGTATCAACAACAACAACAACAACACCAAATGCTTTATTTGCATGACCATAAAGGAATTACAGTATTGCAAAAGCTATTAGTCTAAATTTACCCGACATTTCTCGAACATATCACTTTGGTGCCAAAGGACTAAATGTTGGAAGTTTTATGCAGCAAATTTAGTTCAAGAAACATTCTCTAAATAAGAAACGGAATGTCAAGCTAGATGTGAATAAGATGCCGGACAGCTATGAAAAAGAAATGCTTCGTTTGATAAGGTAAAACTTAAAGGCTCCTTGTTTTTAATACTCATTAAACACAAAAAAAAAAAGGAAAAGAAAAAAACTAAAACGCGTACAAGGTGACTGACCCCTATTGCCGTACGATCGATTTCAGAAGGCCACTGTGTTATTTTCCGATGTGTCTTGGCAATTTATTATTTGGTGTCCCAGTAAAGTAGTGTCATCTCAGAACAGGGTAAAAAAGGAGTCCGTTGAGAAAAAGTTGACTGTAACTGACCTTTTACACCGATATTAAGGTGGGTTAAGGATTCCACTAAAGCATCCAAAACACTTCGGTCGCAAAATGTCTTAGCGTCTGCCCTTGTATGCTTGTGAGAAATTTTAAAAAAATTCACTGTAGGAAATATTACAGGAAATTGTAGTTAGTCTGGGAAATCGAGGAATTTAAAATTACGCATTTCTCCTCTACATTATTTTCGTTGTAAACAATAAATTTTCTCGGAGAAGCAAATAATATGCCACTTAATAATCCAAAATGGCACGAGTGTTTTCCATATGGACCCTTCACACGGTCTAACTTGGCCCCAATACAAGGGTCAATTTATTGCGGAAGTTAACCTCCAAAACTGAGGAATTAAACGAGACTTTCTGCAAGTTGAAGTTTTATTGGAGTCACCTACCGCAACACAGGATCACATGAGATTGCATCACATTGAAAGTAAAGCGAAAATTTCCGAAATTGTGCGCAGGAAGGAATCTTGCTGCCAACCGAGGGTGCGAAGCGATAAACACTGATGTGCGCATGCGTGATGCAACCTCATGAGGTTCGTGTTAAGGTTCGTGTGGCAGTGGTGACGAAATAGAATTGGTACCACAACAGCGCCATTTCATCGAGGCTGAATTAGCCCCCAAAATAGTATCATGGATTGGACTCATGTGTCTTGGCCCCAAAAAGTCCTATTCATTTTACAGTGTCAAACTCCTGGGCCCAGTTGTTCGAACGCACTAGTTAGTTAGCACTAACCCAGGGTTAAATTTTAACCCCGGTATCTTTATCTTTTTATCAAAAGCACTCTCTCGGATAAATTTCTCTATTCTTTTTATAATTTAGAGTATCCAATTATCAAATTGTAGGCAAAGAGAATTCAACTGAATTTGTTTTTTAATCTCTCATATCTGAGTTTAAATTTCGCACTAACCCAGGGTTATATTAACCCAGCTTCGAACAACCCGGCCCTGGTACTTATCCTGTACGGGTTTGCCTGTAGGGACGGGTAGGAGAGAACCCTGGGAACGAGGTTGACTTAAGGTTAGTTACCTCAGTAAAATTAAAGGAGCGAAAGAGTTGATCGAACAAGGTTTTTTTCCGAGAAAATGCGGTATTAGTTAAAGAGACGATAATTTACGTCCTTGTCGCTGTTTTTCAGAGAGGCCAAATTGCTGAATCATGCCAAGAACCCCTGCTCACACCTCAAGGATTTTGTACCGGACACAGAAGGGAAAACATACTTGTTTTACCTACGAATGGACACTAGAACAGATTTTACCACGTGGTCCAACGTGGCGCGATGCTTTCGCATGTGGGATTTGGACGCGAGAGGTTTTCATAAAAGCACATGGAGATTTTGGATCAAGAAAAATCACATTTCAGCTGTCGGTTGTCCGGCATCTGAG